ACTCAAAAAATATAATGTTAATATCATTCAGTGTCACTCATATGCACATTGTTTCATTCCTTTTTATATCTGCACAATTTCCACAGTATGGATAATTTCTTTAATTATTCTCATATCGGTGCAAATTTAAATTTTTCCACCAACTTAATGTTTCAACATTGGAATGGTGACAAAGTTGAACCAGATAAAGTTTTTGTGCTGATGGCATTTTCAGATAAGTGAGGGATACAAAGTAGAAAGCCAACAAAACAGGGTGAAAGTGTTAGGTTGGGAAAGTATGGGGTCTAAAGGATAATATAGAGCAGTCAAGCAAGACAGCATCAAGAGGCCAGCATAGACTTTCTTTTCATCATGAATTTAATTTTTAAAAGCACTCAGCCTACATACAGCAAGGTCTTTCCCAACTCAGCTTGTGACACAGAAAAAAATTGCCCGGCCCAAGCTTTTACTGCAGCTGAAATGTGCCTCCCCTGAACCCAGAAGAGGTTCTACACAGAAGGAGATCGCAAGGCTTAATTACACAAAGCAATCTAGAGAATCTAGCTGAGGTGGATTTTAAGCATGCTGTCACATATTAAAAGTCTAAGCAGTCCAGCTCAGGGATTCCAATTACTGTAGCCAACACAGATACCATGGGGACATTTGAAATGGTAGTGGTTATGACCCAGCATTTCAGGTTCACAACAATTCATAATAAGCCTTAAGCCCTGATAACTAGAAACTTTTTGCCACCATAATCTACAATGTGTGTAGCATTTATTATTTTTTTAAAGATTTTATTTATTTATTTGACAGACACAGCCAGAAAGGGAACACAAGCAGGGGGAGTGGGAGGGAGAGAAGCAGGCTTTTTGCTGAGCAGGGAGCCAGATGCAGGGCTGGATCCCAGGATCCTGGGATCATGACCTGAACGGAAGGCAGACACTTAACGACTGAGTCACCCAGGCGCCCCTCGCAATGTGTGTAGCATTTAGCTGTGAGTTCAGGAAGTGGGCAGAATCATCTGGAAGAGATGAAAAGTATCGTTGTGCTTTGAGTTAGGTTCATTTGTTTGGACATGGCCAATTGCTATTCCAAATAGTTCGTGAAACTTTGGAAACTTATGCATGCCAAATTTCCAAATATCAGGGAACATCATAGGGAGGGATGGTAGAAGAGTTTACTTTCTGAAACAGATACAATTTAATTGGAAATCAGGGTTTCATGCTCTACTTATCAGAACAGGAGTGGACTACCCTCAGTGGAACAAAGACCTATTGTATTGTGTTTACTTGTGCTCTGAAAGGGTACATCATCTTAGATGGTGGCCACTTGAGTCTGCACTATGCAGACAAACCTTTGGATCTGGAGCAGATCTTGCCATGCTAGGAACGATGTTTTCAACCCATATAGAATATGCTAGAGAAGTGAGGGAGAGGAATAGCTGTCTCAAGCTCTGCTATGGGATGAGCTTTGAAACAGCAATGAAGAAATATGCATGAGAAGTTGCTGAGTATAGAGCCTCAGAAAAAAACACCAGGGAAGTGACTTCCAAAGGGAACATAGAAAACAATATCCTGGATATCACAGTCTTGTATAAGAGCTCCTGGCTGGTAAAATGCTTCCTCCTATCTTATCCTCTCACACCACCTGAAGAAGTTGGGGCTTTGGAGCTATCCCTAGGGCCCTCCTGCTGCATGAAAACAGACATTCATTGGGTCAGAAGCTCAGGGTGTCTACTTCCTAGAATTCATGTCTTTATTATTAAAATTAATATGTGTATCTTTTCCATTTCTTTTTTAAAAAGAGTTTTTACTTTAATATAATACTATTGTCTTCAAAAATGTACTTATACTTAAAAGCTACTGTGATAAACTTAATTTCAAGGGTAGTTACATGTTCTGTTGATGCACTGAAATTGCTCAGGGACAGCAATGAAGGTAAAGGCCTGTATGATCTGGCTGTCGGGTGTGTACCAGTAAGGTGACTGATATCTCTCTTATGAGTATTTAGGAAAACAGGGTCAATATTCTCTATTGATAGCTCCATAAGAATGGTGTTCAAGTTGCTTTGACTACAGGTAAGCAGAATAAGCAGAGGGGGAACAATGAAACTTCTGTTCTAATTTTTGTCAGACAGAAAGAAGTTTCATCTGTGAGTCAATCTGCAAACAGCTTCTTCTGAAACTTGAAGACTTCTGGGAGATGGACCATTAAAAATTACAAGAGCCCTTCAAGCAGCATGTGAGCTGGAGCCTGACTCCCCACACCCCATTTTCAGCCCACCTCTGACCATCTGCCTGGTTAGATATGCCCTTCCCCTAAACTCACAGGAAAGGGCAAAGGTACAGGCAATCTTTCCCAAGGGCAATATGAGGGGTGCAGACCGCTGTACAGTATGGATAGGGAAAGGGGAGATCATTTCCTGGTGGGTGACTTTAGAGGCTGGGTGATGAAGTCTGGGCTCCTAAGAATGAACTAGATCAGGATCTAGGAGGAAGTGGAGGGCAATAGGGCAAGCACAAGAGAAAAAAATGACCCATGAGGACAATGAGAGAAGAAGGAATACTTGGGGAACCATGAACGAGAGTTCCTTTTGATGTGGTAGAGTAGTGTGTGGCAAGGCAGGGAACATGTGTCCTCAGGTTCAATTCAGATCAATGCTGAACATCAGAATGAGTAAAGTAGGATTTACTTCTCTGATGGTGGGGTTGCCATCCAGGGCCTTAGAGTAGGAAAACAACAAGTTAAGAATAAGGAAGAGTAAAGTTTAATTTGGTGGTAAGGTGCAAGGTAAATTGGAGAGGGAGGCACTGAAGGCAGATAGGTCAGAGAAGGAGTTTCCCGGACAGTCAGGAGTGAGGCAATAAGGTCCTAAACCTGTACACACAGGTTTATAGCAGCTCTTTTCATAATTACTCAAAATGAAGAACAACTTAGATGGCCTGTGGGTAAATGGATAAATAAACTAGAACATCCATATAACAGAATACTACTCAGCCAAAGAAAAGCATGAGCTTTTGCTACAGGAAATGCTTAAATGACTTTCCCAGGCATTATGCTGAGTGAAAGAAGCCTGTCTCTGAATGTGATGTATTGTAGATTTCTTTTATGTAACATCCTGCAAAAGACAAAACTGCAGGAATTGGGAATATATCAGTGGTTGCCAGAGTTCAGAGAAGGGGGGTAAGATATGACTACAAAGGGTAGCATGAGGGAGTTTTTTTGGAGGGAGCGATTGAACTGCATCCTGATTGTGGTGGTGATTACACAAATCTGTACATTTGTTAAACTTCACAGAACTACACACACAGAAAAGGGTCGATTTTGTTGTATGCTAATAGTTTTTTTAAGAATCAGAGTTGTCCCCTATTAAATGTAACATTCAGCAAAGAATGAATGGAAACATTTGGTGGTAGTTAATGATCATATCTTTACAATTTATTGGCTATATTTACATTAAAACTCTCTCTTGAATAACAAAATATATCCCTCAACCGTGGGATAAATTCTTCATGCTTAAATATAAATGATAAGACATTAAACCAGCAAAAATATTTATTTTTTGAACCCTTCCTTTCCTATGGCAGGCTTTGTTGTTGGCTGCCGTATTCCACTGTGACCATCCTAGACAAAAGATCCCTTAATTCCTCCTGATTCTCCAGCTGGCTGCACTGGCCAGAATGCCATTTTTGGCAACAACACACTTCCAAGTACCACTGGATAATGGGTTGTTGGGATATCAGTTTCTTCTTTTTTTTTTTTAAGGTTTTTTTTTTCATTTATTTATTTGACAGAGAGAGAGAGAGAGAGAGAGATCACAAGTAGGCAGAGAGGCAGGCAGAGAGAGGGGGAAGCAGGCTCACTGCTGAGCAGAGAGCCCGATGCAGTGCTCGATCCCAGGACCCTGAGATCACAACCTGAGCCAAAGACAGAGGCTTAACCCACTGAGCCACCCAGACGCCCCCAGTTTCTTCTTTTAATTAATATTTTTTTCAGAAGTGATACTCTCTCTGCTTCTGATCATAACAATTATGTATGTATGTTGATAGTTCTCTTTTTTTAATGGAACAAAGTGAATGATACCAGACTATCTCCAGAGCGCCATGAATGAATAAAAATTTTACCTGCTAATAAGCCTCACACCAAATGGTGAGATACAGGGTACTCTCTCCGTTCTGAGGGCTTTGTGAGTGTATGAAAACTGTTTTCCAATTTATTTATTTGCATTCCACAATAAAGTTCACTCTGAGGAAAGCAAGTTTTTCTGGGGACTCATCTGATTAACAAGGCATCAGATCCTAGAGGACATAAAAGGTCGGTCTGAAGCCTGTTTGAAACCCAAGTGGAAGCCATCCAGCAGTCATCATTGAAAAGGCCAGACATCTAACATTTGATAACCCGAGTTCAACCAGAGAGAAAAAATAGTGGATTATTTATATAAAATTGCTAACAAAAGGAAGAAGGGCTTCTTTCCACAGATTAATCTGGGAGTCAGTTTTTTTTAAAGGTGCACTTTTAATAAGATTTAAAAAAATTTTTCTAACACATCAGTGTGTTTTGAGAACCGTCATTTCATTTGTAGCCATTAGGGAACTTTTCCAAAGTTTTAAAAACTGATAAAACTATTTTGTCCTCCATATCGTGTCAAATATGATGTGGCCTCTCTTTTTAAAACATCGTGATCATTTAATATCATGATTAAAACATTTAAAAATTCAAGAGAACTAGTAAAAAAAAAACCCACACTCTTACTCCCACATTCTTCTCTAGGCGCCTCTACCCCCACCCCTCCCCCCATCTATCACCCACGTCCATTTTAATGCTGGATGGGACTCCTGGGGAAATGGTGGACTGTAGGTCTCAGGGAGAAGGGGAGGTGGGCAACTTCGAAGCAGAGAGAGAAAAATAATTCCCCAAAGAAGGAGAAATGGTCGATTAACCCCTAAAGGCGGATCCTCCCTGGCAATCCAAGAAAGGCAAAGAGCAACTGCAGGGAGAAGATACCAGTTCTATTGTCTCTGATTGGCAAATACGAAAAAAGATTGACAGTATCAAGTGGAGGGAATGCAGGGGGCGGGCTGCAGTGTTAAATGGGAGGGGTCACCGAAGAGTGGAGCTCATTGATGACGCGACCCTCACGTGACCAGGAGTCGACGTGTGCAGAAGTCCTTATAGTCCAGGGCCTGTTTCCCTGTAGCCGCTCGGTATTGCTGGAGAAGGAGAAAAGTGCCCCCGTTCCTTTCAGGTCAGTGTAAAAGCGGGCGCTGCCTTGGGGTCCCTCCGGTCTAGGAGCCAGAGAGCAGAAGCCAGGCGGGGTCGCCGCCGTTTTCCCAACATTACAGTCCGCCAAACTCTGATTTTTGTGCAGGAAATTTGGGCTGTTTGGTGGGGATGGGGGTGAGGGTGGAGAGGGAGAAGGGTGGCCAGTTGACACAGAAACAATTTGGGGAAATAACGTGCGTTTCCCACTCCCTGTTTGCAGGGAACCGGTGGGCACGGGCAGGGAGGGCGGGGTTGCCTTAAAAGGAAGGAGAGGATGAGGACGTGGGACAACTTTAGACGAATAAGGCCTAGAATCGCGAAAAGGACCGGTGATTCAGGTACTGTCCTATTCGCTCAGCAAGCACTCCTGTCGGTCTGCAGGACTCTTTGGTCTTTTGGGCTCAACACAAATCGAGTGAGGGAAGGAGGCAGGAAAATCGCCCGGATCCCTGCAGGTCAGTTTGAGTGCAATTGCCTCAGGTCCCTTCGGGTAGGGATGGGGGTGGGAGTGGGAGTGCGTGGATGATACCAAAGCATATCCTGGGGTCGCCACAACCTCTCCCCATCCGGATTACACGCTGGAGGCCTTTGCAGAGCCTGCAGCGGAAATGGGGCGGGGGCGGGGGAGGCTGAAGAGACGTAGAAGGGGGAGGGGAGGCCTGAGACTGCACCAGCCGATCTCAGGTGAGTGGCGGGAGATTGGGACCGCGAGGGAAAGCCCGAGAGGGCGGGAATATTGGAGACCAGCGTCTTAGGAGGGGGTTCATTGCTTCCGCGCCGCCCGCGTATCTGGGCTAGGAGCGGCCTGTAAGCAGGGCCTGCTGGGAAATGGTGGGCTGGAGCGGGAGGAGGGAAGATGGAGCTGGAGCAAGAAGGGGAGGGAAGAGAGGTGGAGGAAGGGGTGGAGTCAGGAGAGTTCTGAGTCTGAGGACCTAGCCTTCTCCAGTTGGAGAACTTTGACAATTAGGGACCTCAATGAGAAGAGGCCAGTCTCCCTGGGAACCCATACATTGGCTGCTGGTCTGTTTGTCTGGCATCTAGTTGTATTGTTTCCTTGTTTTCTAGGATTAATTTATTTAAAAGAAATAACAGAAAAATACTCAACATGCAAAAGTCTTGTGAAGAAAATGAAGGAAAACCACAGAACATGCCAAAGACGGAGGCAGACCGCCCTTCGGAAGATGTACCACAGGAGGCAGATGGAAATCCTCAACCTTCCCAAGAAGGTGTAAGCCAGGAAGCAGAAGGAAATCTTAGAGGAGGGCTGACCCAGCCTGGCCAGGGGTATAAAGAGGACACTCCTGTGAGGCATTTGGACCCTGAAGAAATGATAAGAGGAGTAGATGAGTTGGAAAGGCTTAGGGAAGAGATAAGAAGAGTAAGAAACAAGTTTGTGATGATGCATTGGAAGCAAAGACATTCACGCAGCCGTCCTTACCCTGTGTGCTTTAGGCCTTGAATTCTTTTTTTGTCTGATATTAAAATCTGGCCCCTGCTTCTTTCTGTTAGTGTTTTCTGATGTATCTTTGACCTTCGTTTTACTTTAATCATCTGGTGAAATTTTGTTTTAGGTAGTTTCCTTGTTACCAACATCTCACTGGATTTTGTATTTTGACCCATTCTCCAGGTCTGTTTTTCAATTGGAAAGTTTCACACATTTGCATGGAAATATATTCGTTCTATATTGTAAAGTAAAACATAACAGGTTATAAAGCGGTATATTTAGTATCAGCTCACATATGTAGGATTAAATCCCAAATTTGTGTGGGTGTGTGTTATACATACAGACATATATCAAAAAACGTAACTGCTTATTTCTTTGTGGCGTGAGCTTTTTTCTTTATGCTTATATGTATTTTTTTCATGAACACATGTCACACACACAAAAAAGAATTAAAGTTTTATAAGTAAGAGTTAAATAATTTGCAACCAGCTTATAAGGGCAATGGGGGCACCTAAACTCTTGATGGAAGAACTATTAAAAAAATGTAAACCTCAAGTTACCTCTGGATCTCTTAGCCAGAGGAATAAAACTGGCAATTATTACAGATATACTTGCTTAAGACTCAGTCTTTTTCACGGGGAAAACATTTGGCTCACAGGGCTGCTGTGAGGAAGAAATGTGACTCTGAGCTGCGCTTGGTGGACTTGTGTTCCCACTTGTGCCTATAGAACCCCAACCCTCTGCAGAGCATCAGTTATTTGAGGGCGGGCCCTGACAAGACTCACCTGTGCTCAGGAAGAAGTCCATTAGTAGGCAAGGCAGTGGGGGCTTCATGCCAGTATTTGTTGAGCCCTGCCCTCCTCTTCCCCTGGGTTCTGCCATGCCCGCTGGGCACCTGCTGCCTCTTCTGCTGGCCCTCACTGTTCCTGGTGCACTGGGGTCTGCCCTGGGTGCCAAAACCCATTCACTTTCCCAGAGTCCCCAGTGGGCTGAACCCCTCACTCTGTATTTTGAAGCCTCTCTGCTTCATGGGGACCCTTCACACAGGTAAGACTGCTTGGGCCACGATACCTTGCAGGGTTCCTAGCAAGACAGCCTCTTCTGTTTTCAACCCCAGAACCCCTCCTCTGTGTTAGAGGTTGGACAAGATGAGGCCATTTTTGGAGTTGGACCAAGGTACAAGTTGGAATAAAAAAAAAGCTGTAGTTAGAGTTGCCTTAGGTCTAAAGACTAAGGTTTTGTCTTCTGTGAGATGATCTCTCCCTGAAGGCTCCTGGCAGGCCTGACCTACTGGTTCAGAAGACTGAATATTCATAAGTTGCACAAAGCAATACAGGAAACAGATCTAAGGGATTAGTCTCACCCTATCCCATCTCCTGTTAAAACATGAAAAATAAAACTAGCAAAGGCAATAAGAACCGTATATCTACAAGTAGAAGGGCTATTATATATATGTTAGGAATTTTATTTCTTTCCCCTATGGGACAAAAACCCTGATAGCCCTATGTATTTGTGTTTAACTGAGACATGTTTTAATATTTAATTGGTTTCTTGATTTAATTATTACTAAGGAGCTGGTGTTACTCACATTCTGCTGTTGACTCAATAGTCAACAAATTTTTTATTTCTCTAATAAGGCAAACAATTCCAAAAGGAAAGTGCATGAAATAGTGTGCACTCCAAATGTTTCATCAAAGTCTTGCATAATCACCTGCGTTAGAACTACCTTGGGGAGCATCTTTAAAATACTGATTTCTGGGGATGCCTGGGTGGTTCAGTTGGTTAAGTGTCTGCCTTTGGCTCAGGTCATGATCCCAGGGTTCTGGAATCGAGGCCCACATTGGGCTCCTTGCTCAGCAGGTGTCTGCTTCTCCCTCTGCCTGTTTGTACTGTCTCTCTCTCTCTCTGACAAATAAATAAAATCTAAAAAAAAATACTGATATCTGGGGCCCACCCTAGGACTCACTGACTGGAGGTGGGCTATAGAAGTAACAGTTAGCAAGCTCCTCTAGATGATTATGGTGCAAACTGTAGCATGAGAATGACTGGTATATACAGTGCGCTTTCCATTATTACAAATACGAACTCTTATTAGAAGACAATATTGGTGAGTATTTATTGAAATTCAGGAAGTAGAGGTCTATAACTATGTTTATCTTTTTAACTATGAAAAGACTGACAGATTTATACATAAAATTTGAAAGATTTCCTTTAATAAAGAAGTACAAGGTAAAAAGACGAGGGACTATAATATTAGATGCACTTTTCTTGACTGAACACCATGTTTGGACATGCATTCACTCCTTCCAACATGAGTGAAATTTATTCACGTTCTCTTTTTGCGATCAGCACATAAAATGGTGAGCCAGTCCTATGCATACCCTTTGGCTTTGTTCTTATTTTTTCATTGTGTGAGGTCATTTTGGGGGATCTTCATGTCTTCAGACCGTTCTTCAAGGTTGCAACAGCCTGATGGATGCCAGTTGGGTTAGACTCTGGCTGGAGTGAGCTGAACTTCCAGGGGCTAACCGTACTAGTTTGACAAGGCAGGATGAATCCATTCTCCTGGTGCTCAAAGGGGTGTTGCTCAGGTAGGCTGTGGAAGGGCTCACCTAAGTCACACTTCTCTCCAGGGTGGGTCTGATTTTGGTTTCTGTGCTCCAACCTGCCCCAGACATGGACTCTCCTATGCTGATGACTGGGCTGTCCTGGACATACATGGAGGACAACAATTGTCCTCACTGCAGGTCAGAGCACTTTGCCTTTCCTTCCTTCTTCCTTTTTCTTTCAGGGAACTTTGTGTGAGGGAAGAGATAAAGTCCCAAAGATTCCTAACTGGAAACACGGGTTGTGATAGTCTTCGGGTAAGCAATTTTCTGAACTGGGTCTGACCGGGTAAATTGGAGATAAAGGAGAAGATGCTGACCCTCCTCTCAGAGTCCAGTGAAGTAGCTCCCAAAACAGCTGAAGTGAAAATGGGGACAGATCTCAGATAAGAAAGACCTCCCTCATCTCTCTCCCACCTACCTTGCTCAGACTCCCAGAAGGGCCTCTGTTGGTGTGGTTCTGCAATAATTTTAGCTCTGTGTGTGCCTTTATGCAGTACTTCTGATGTCTGCATGAGCCCAGGCTCAGGGATATTAAAAAAAAAAAACCCAGTAAAGGAAGCTTGCAAAAGCACGTGGTCCTACAGTTCAGGAGAAAGGGGGTGTCACCTTCTGTTTGAATGACACCGTTGCACTGCAGACCCAGCCTTCAACTTCTCAAGCTGTGAATTGGTATGAAGATGCTGTTGAAGGCATTGATGGTGGAGGAAGCAATTGTGACCCTTGCTCTTTAGGTCTGCCATCTGAGGAATTATTACTACTTTTTTTGATATCCTAAAACACTGGTTGGGCAATAAGGTGAAGATAAAATTCAAATTTTGGGGTTTAGGAAGGCAAAATGGTTAAGTGTACAGCCTTAGAGCCAGAAAAACTTGGGTTCCAATCTCGGCTCTTTCTCTTACAACATGTAACATTGCATAAATCACTTATCTTTTTTTTTTTTCTTGGAGGACACCTACTATCTTTGAAACTGGGCCATTCATAGACTCTCTGGAAATAGAACTCTTAGATCAAAGAGAAAATTTCTCCTCTACCACCATCATTGCTGTTATCATCATCATAATTATTATCATCCTCATCATCATCTTCATCATCATCACCATCATCAAGGGATGATATTGAGTAAATATTCAGTGGATTCCTGTTGGGCACAGGCCACATACTGTGAAGGTTTCTAAGATTCAGTGGGCAAGCCCTGGAAATGCATCATCTGAAAGGGTGAGGCCAATATAATGGGAAAGCACTGGCTAGAAATGGATTCTCTGCTTATAAGAAGTGTGAGCCCAGATTGGTTCATGCATCTCTAACATGAGTAAAACCCTACATAAACCCATAAGACTGTTGTGGGAAGTAAATGCAGAAAACTATATGAAATTCCTGGCATGCAACAGACCTATACAGAATGTTAGATCTTTGATCATCGTTATCAAGTGTTGTCATCAAAATCATCATCATCATCATCATCATCATCAGATGATCCTGAGATAACACTCAAATACGAACTCAGAAAGTCTGTGCTTCCTTGACTCCATATCACCCTTTCGAAGGAAAAGTCTATTTTCATTTCTTTCATTCAACCTTATCCTTTGCATAAAAGAAGCAAATAGTACATAAACTAAATGGGATAACTGTCATTCATTTGCAACTATAAAAGAAATAATTGGATCCTATATACATTTATAGCATTTATGCGCTCTGGTACCTTTTGTGTATTGGGGGATGAAAAAAAATTCCTTCCACATTTCCAATTTATTTGGTTACCTTCCTGAAAATTTGAAAACATGAAGAAAATCTTACTTTCATGAATTACAAAACATGATGTAGAAACATCTCTTTGATATGGAAAGCTGTTTCTGACCATCATACTCTTTCATGAAAAAGCCAGCTGCAATACACACACACACACACACACACAGGTTAAAGAGAAATATCAAACTATTTGAAGTGAATATTTCTAAATAGTGTTATTATGGGAAATGTATAACTTCATCTTTATCTTTCTCTGTATTTCCAGTTTTAACTTTTTCAATGAACATGTGTTTTTTTAAAGATTTATTTATATGAGAGAGAGAGGGAGGGAGAGAGAGAGAGATTGTTAGAGAATGTGAAGAGGGGGCGAGGCGGAGGATGGAGAAGCAGACTCCCTGCTGAGCGGAGAGCTGGACAGGGGGCTCAATCCCAGGACCCTGGGATCATGACCTGAGCTGAAGGCAGATGCTTCATCGACTGAGCCACCCAGGCATCCCATCTGGAGTTTTTATAATTAGAAAAGGATCATAAAAGTGAAAGTAGTTTAATTCTATTTCTCCTGTCTCTTTAGCTGAGATAGGGCCTGTTGGCTCTACCAGTTCCTTGTTTTCTTTCTGTTCCATCTTCTGAGAAGAACCTAGTGTAAGTTTTAGAACTTTGAGTGTACTAGCTGAGAAGCTACCCATTGCTATGCTACCTTGGTGACACTCTCCCTTGTGAGAAATGCTGTATAGAATTCTGTCTTTGGTCACAAGGTGGCATTTCATAACTAATTTCTAAATATTCTCTTACAAAGTACTATTAATTTATCAAAAATAAAATAGCAATAAACATAACTTTCAAAGAACATTATGAAATTGATTCTTAATTCTGCTTCTAAAAATACACAATCATAGAAAAATACTGGCAGGATGTGCCTTCAGCTGTATTTGCCAGAGCTCCCAAATGCAAATTTGGGAGCTTGACTCATTCAGGAAATATTCACTGGATGCGTACCATGTATCAGACTATGCTA